GTGGCTGTGGACAGGTTCTGTAATCTTTCTGTGCTTTACTTTTCTCATCTGTAAAGTGGGGATAATTTTAATAATAGAGTTGCTGAGATTAAATAAGCTATTTGATTAAAAGTGCCTGACCCATACAACTTTGAACTGGGAGAACACAGATAGGCCATTTTGCCATCCTCACTTCAGTTTACCAGTTAAAAATTACTTGTTGAGCACCTGTAATGTACAGGTTACTCTTTTTAAGATGTAGAAATTTTAAACTCACTGTCCCCGAACTCAGAGAGCACAGTAGTTGGTATCCTGGATGCAGACCCCGACGCGGCCACCGTCTGGCTCTGGGGCCTGCCCTGTGTCATGCTCCTTGGCACCTCAGCTGCTTCTGTGTGTGAATGGGCACCGAAGGCCATGTGCACCTGTACAGCAGCCGGAAGGCAAACGGCAGGTGTTGGGGAGTAGGTGCAGACACACAGAATATACAGATAACTTTGTCCTGCCACAGGACTACTTATAGAGAGCCTGCTCTATAGGCCAGGCCTTGCAGCCACACCAGCAAGTTATTAAATGACTGCAATGCATGGTGTTCTTTAGGAAGTTATATGAGAGACGAAAAGTGTGGTGACCCCAAACAGGTAAATTTCTATTTGGGAAGAAACTAGAAAAGCAACTGAGAGCAGAGAGGGAGGTGTCAGTGAGGGAGCACTGCACTAGGAGCCCAGACGCCTGAGCCCAGGCAGCACCTCCCCACCGCAGCCCGCGGGCACATCGCCCCGCCCGCCCCGGCCTTCTGCAGCACACAGGCAGGGCGCTCCCACGCGGGAGGCGCTTGGAACTGTCCTGCTGGCAGTCTTCAGGAAGGCGTGTCATGAAATGGATGGGCAAAACATTAGGAACATTATTGCGGAAGGAGAGTCCAACTCCAGTGAAACACTGGACACTATGCCCAGATGAAGAAGGGAGTGTACTGAGCAACTGCAGTTCTTCTTCATGAGGTGTCGGGTTCTCACCAACACCCTTCACTGCGCCAGCACGATTTGCTTCTCAGCCCCACCTGCGGGGGCGTCTGTACCAGGTGACACCAGCTGTCTTTGGTTGTTGTTGACTCGTGTCTCTCTCCCCCACCCCCGTGTCCCACTTTTGGACCCATCCTGCCTCTTACAGTCCCATCCTTTTCCCTTCATTATGTCTCCATCTTCTGTGGCGAAGTTTGTGGACCATAATATTTCAACCCGCACCAGTTTAATTGTTGCAATTGGCCCTGAGAGAATCAAGGAAATGAGAGTGGCTCCCACTGCCTGGCGAGGAGGCCAACGAGATCAGTCAGCGGCTCCAGCCTGCCGTGCACCCTGCCAGCCCCTGCAGAGTGGCCGCCAACCCGCTCCCTGGACAGACAGGGGCCCGGGTGTCTGGGGCAGTCGCCTGGAGTCTCCTGGCAAGCAGCACGTGGGCGTGCCGGCTCCAGGGAGACCACGCTGGACTCCCACTGTTCCCTGGAGCACGGCGGGGCTGAGAGCTTGTCCACACCCGGACAAGCTCTCAGCAGGGGTGTCCTATTCACCCGAGTGCTAGGGGGCCAGAGCCCCCCTCCCAGGCCCTCAGAGACTCCCAGACCCCAGCCTGTGAGGTCGGCCTCCGGTGGCAGGTGCAGGTGGACACATGGTCCTGAGCATGGCATTTGGAGTCAGGGGACTCCTGTTGCGAGTCCAGCCCAGCCATTTGCTTCAGTAACCTCGGATGGGTCCCTGAGTGTCTGCCTCCTCACCTGGTAGGTGGAGGCACATAGCTGGGTGCACCTCCAGAGCCAGCGTGGGATTCGGTGGGAAAATTAGGACAAAGCCCTCAGCAAATGCCTGGCCACAGCGCTCGGCCCGCGGTGCTGCAGTCAGTGTGAGTGCTGCTCGGAGTGCCATTTCCACCCAACTTCAGACAGGCTTTCCCCCAAATTATCCATCAGGTTTTGTTTGTTTGCTCGTTAAACTCACGAGGAATCCTTGTATCACGTGTCACAGGGCTGGAGGAGCGTCAGCCGTACCCCAGGGAGGAAGGAAGAACACACCCTGCCTGCGTCTCAGGGTCGCAGTCCAGCCCTGAGAATGTACCGGAGTAGAAGCCAGAAATCTGGGTTCAGCCCCAGCACTTAACTAGTCACTTCACCTCCCGGGCTCAGTTTCCCCTTCTGTGAAATGGGGTGGTGGTGCGCCTGGGCTGGTGGGAGGAGGGAGAGGTAAGTCCGAGCGACCTGCCACTGAGACAGAGCACTCTCCCAGTGTGTCCAAGGGATGGCGCTGCCAGAGGTCAGGACCTGGGACGGGTCAGGCTCAAAGGCTGCACCTCGGTCCCACCTCCGGTCACGGGCCTGAATCATGTGGTAGAAATAAGGTCGGGGAAATGCACCCAGATGTTGATTCCCCGAGGACCTTGCCCCCCCGAGATCAGCCGAGGGGGAGCCCTGGGCAGTGGGTTTGGGTTACAGAGATTTCTGATCCGGTTCCAGCTCAGGGAGCCCAGGTAGCTCAACCATTTCCTCCTCTGTAAAGCGTCCACCCATGTGGCTTGGTGCCTCTAGCCTAGACTGTGAGGGGGGCTCATGGACCCTGCAGGCAGAGATGCCGCCAGGCCTGGGTTCATGGCCGCGGGGTCTCCTACCCCGTTCCTCCCCGCTCCGCTTCCCTCAAGCAGCTGCCTCTGCCCTCGCTCCTTGCACACTGGCTTCTCAGTATGTTTAGTCACACAGTGGTCCACACTGGCAGCAGCTCCCAAATGCACATGCTGCCACCCTGGGTGCTGCCCCTCCATGTCTGCCTGTCTCTCTCCCTCTGTGGTTCCCCTTCTCATCCCTCCCAGGCCAGGCAGCACTAGCTAGGGTCAGAACCACTTGTCCAGGGCACTCCCTTGCAAGGCAGTGTAAAGCAGAGTCACCTCCCAGCCAAGGAGGGCAGGAAAGGGACAGAGCCCCCCCCAGAGCTGTGAGTGCACCCTCTCCTCCTCCCCCCCCACTCCCAGGGCACTTGGGCAAAGTGCTCCCCTGCAGCGCGGCCATCAGCCTTCCCAACTGGAGGAATGCCTCCGCTCTCCCCTCCCGCAGTTCCGCTCTGCTTGTTCCCGAACAGATGACAACAGAGATGGAGCATATGGGCCCCAAAGTCACCGGGCATTCTGGGAAAGTGACTCTGCTACCCCAGGCTTGGCGGGAGGGGCCCATCAGCTCCTGAGCACAGCTTCTCCCTTTGTTCTTCACAAGGGCACAAGGTCACCTCTCCTGAGCCTCCTGACAGGGAAGCACACACACACACACACCGACTTCAGGGAGAATTCCCTCCATCTAGGCAGCGCTTTAGGAAGGCAGGGGGAGGCTGGGCATACAACGGGGGAGAACATTCGGGAGCCAAGAACATATGGGGGCTGGGCCTCTGCCGCCTGGGGGTCACCCCGCCGACCTGGCCTCCACCCCCCCTTCCCAGCAGCAGTCTGAACCAGGCACCTGCTCCCTTCGGGTCCTGCAGGTATGTTTGGAGCCCCTCCAGAGAGCCCTGTGCAGATCACAGGAGGCACCGGCCCAGAGCCCAGCCCCCTGACGCCAGCCTTGGTGATGCTCTGCCTTGGGCTGGGTGACCTCAGCACTCTCCAAGCTGATTTTCCTCCCCCTGCACCTCTGACGGACTCTGTGTGCCTCTGAGCTGGACCATGCAGGACTCTCCAGGGAGGGTTTTCCTTACCCGAATTGGGAAAGCTGGGTAAAGGGACACAGCGTCAGCCCAGGGCAAAGAAGCCTGGGCTTCCTCCTTCCTGTCCCCAGAGACATCCCAGGCCTGACCAAGCAGCCCCTTCCCCTCCCCTGGCCTGGTGTCAGGGCACCTGGGCCATCTGAGCCCTGGGCCCAGATCCCTCCCAGATGTGTGGTGAGCTTATTTGGAAGCAGCTCGGAGCTTCGAGCAGCCGGCGAGGGGCTGGCCGACCCCCAGGCCTGCAGCTCAAGACTGGCATGGGCTGGGAAAGCAGCGCTGAGAGCCCAGCTCAGGAGACAAGAAGAGGCCCAAGGAGGGGGCAGACAGCAGAGGGAGCAGAGCTGCTGGAGCGGGAAGTCTCAAAGCGGGGGAGTGGGGGTGAGGGCAAGGGCAAGAAAGGCGCAGGCAGCACCGCTGCTCTCTGCTCACCACTGTGCTTCCCAAGACCCAGGCTCCCGCTTTGGTCAGGCACGAAGCTGCCAGCTGTTCATTCCTTTGCAGGCAAGCCACTTGGTGAGGCAGAGGAAAGGGAATGCTTTTCTGATTTCTTTTCACCTTTGACCTGTGGCCAGCATGACCCTGTGGCTGCCCTCTTTTCTGGCTTTCCCTGGGAACTCCCAGGGGGCCCTAAGATTGTGAGTGTGAACCTTGATTCTTCAGAGCAGCAGGGGAGGGCACTGGCAAAATACAGCCCAGCCTGCCTGTGGACTAAGTAGGTTAGAGCCCAAGACGGGCCCGTTGAGACAGTACCAGCCCCTCCAAAATCCAGCCCCCAACTTCCCACCAGCCACCAGAGGTGACCTGCACACACCAGCACTTCCCTCCTCCCTCTGACACACCTGCCTTCCCTCCACTCGTGGGCTGTGACCTACTCATGGAAGTTTAGGCAGCAAGAAAACTGGAAGGGATTAACACAGCCTCTGCAGTGCGATCTGTGGTCTCCGGGCGGCAACTGGACTGGAACACCAGCAACTCGGGAGCCAGGCCTTGACTGGCCAGCTGCTGGAGCGATGCTGGGCCAAGGAGGGGCGGCAGTGTGCGGGCGGGGCCGGCCTCGCCCTTAGGGGCACCAGGCTGGTTGGAATGTCAGGAGAAAGCTGCCCAGCACCAGGCAGTCCGAGGTGCGCCGTGAGTGCTCCAGACGGCATGTCACTGCCGTGCCTCGGGCCTCAGTCATCCAGCTGTGAAATGGGGCTGACCGGTCCCGGCCGAGAGCAGGCCGAGGCAGGTGCAGTGAAGTGCAGAGTCTGGGGATCACCTGTCACAGCCTGCTCCTCTTCTCCGCAGGGCCACCCGTTCATTGTGCAGTTCAACGATGGAAACGCCACAGTGGTGTCCATGTGGGTGTGCAGGGCGCTGGAGGAGAGACGGAGCCAGCAGGGGCCCCCCTGAGGCCTCGGTGGGGCGCTGAAAGCCAGGACTGGTCACCAAGGAGAAAGCCCACCTGTCACGCCCCCCTTTGGTTTGCTCTCTGTAGCAGAAGAGCTTTGCTGGGCCTGAGCTTCCCTGCTCTCACCCTCGACTGTGCTGGCAGATGCCCTGGCCTAGGGAGCCGTCGGGGGAGCCAGCCCTGGCCAGGGGGAGCCCTCACCCCTCCAGCTGGGAGGCACCGACTGAGAGGAAGGCCGAAGGTTGGAGGCATCGAGAACAGAGGCTTCCTCTGCCGCCGCCCCTCTTCCTTCTTCCTAACGTTTTTTCTGTAAAGGGTCAGGTACCATCAGCATCACTGATGGGAATAAAAGTATTCCTGCTTCGTGACTGCCTCCCCCGTGAGGAATGTACTGTTCAGGGTGTCTGTCGCCCACCCAAGGCTGAGGGCGGTGCGGGGACTCCCACTTCCGCAGGGGCATGAGGCAGCACCAGCCCCCTGGGCTCCTGCCAACACCGAGTGCGCCTCGGCATTCTCGAGGGAGGCCCACAGCCCAGCCCACTGACAGGCCCAAACCCCAAGCATGGGGGTCCTCGAACCAAGTCCCTTGGAGAGGAGCAGCTGAGTCAGCAGTAAAGCCAGGATCTCAGACCCCTATGTGTGCTCCCTGCCGGACTGGGGTTTGACCCCCAGAGGCTCCAGCACAGTGATTTGACCATGAGGGGTGGGTTAGGGGGTGTAGAAGCTCAAGAGTTCGAAAAAGGCCCTCTTCCACCCTCCACTTCCATTCCACTCCGCCGGCCCCTCTCTACAGCAAGCTGCCCCCCACCCTGCAAACCTCATTCACTCAGGCCCTTCACTGCCTTCCCCTCAGGTAGTCTTCTCAACTGCCTACCAGGTAAGCATGGTTACTCCCATTTTACAGACGAGGAACTGAGGCTCAGAGAGGCTCGGGTTTCTACTTGGAAGTCTAAATAGCATCCTAGCCTGCCCAGAAACTACTGATGCTACACACACATCTAGAACCTTCTCTACCACTTTCTCATCTCCATCCTCCCAGGGCCTGAGAGACACACTGGGACTCAGCCGTGACCCCTTTCTCTTCCAGACCCCATATCTAGCCCACCTAGGAGTCTCTGGTCCTCACCTTCAAAATCTATGGATTCCGCCACTTCCCATCCTATCCAAGGCCGGGTGCCTGGACCACTGATGGCAACAGCCTTCTACCAGGCCCGCTCCCACTCTGCCCCCTGCAGTCTAGTCTCCACACGGCTGCTAGAGGGAGCCAGTGCAAACTGGCGGATCACGTCCCTCCCAGCCGCAGAACCTCTGGGGGCCCCTCCACGCAGGACAAGCCAAAGGCCCGGATTGGCCTGTGGGACCCGACGCAACCTGCCCCACTGTCGACCTCAGCTCCCATCACAGCTTGCCCCACAGCAGCCCCCTGGCCTCCTCACTGATCCTTGAACATCCAGGGACACCCGCGTCAGGCCACAGAAGAGACAGCCCACTCCCCGAAGGTTCATGCCCCCTCCACGGAGTAGGGCTCTTTCTGGGAAGCCACTCCCCAGCCTGGGACATCTCCCTGCCCCCGCCCCGCCCCATTCATTTTAACAGCCACGTGACTGGTGCTCGACAGGAACGAAAGCAGAAGATATGTTGCTTTCTGGCCAACAACCCTTAGATGCACATGTGCCTTCTCCACTACCCCCTCTCATGGAAAAAAGACCTGCAGCGGGAGATGGGAGAAGGCTGAGCCACAAACGGCAGGAACCTGAATCCTTGGCCCACCACGTGGAGGAACCAGCCACCCAAGGAACGCCCGTGCTGGACTGGTAAATGAGCTGGACCTAAACTATTGTGTCGCTAGGTTATGGGCAGCTGTATTATGCCATCTAATACAGGCCTTTGTGCTTAGAGTGGGGGCACGCTTCCGCCCTGTATCCACCTCTCTCCTGCATCCTTCAGATCTTTGTTTGAATGGCACCTCAATGAGTGCTGACCTGACTGCTCTATTTGAAGTAGAAACCCCGCCCTGATTGGTGTGAATCAGCGGGTCGGGCATCATCTAAAAACTAGAAAGGTCACCGGTTCAATTCTGTCAGGGCACATGCCTGAGTAGCAGGTTTGGTCCCCTGTGGGGGTGTGCAAGAGGCAACCAATTGATATTTCCCATATCGTTTCTCTCCCTCTCTTTCTCCCTCCCTTCCCCTCTCTAAAAATAAATAAAATCTTTTAAAAATATAAATAAAGAAAAATAAAATGGCAACCCTCCCACAACTATTCCCTGGGACGCATGCTGCCTTGCTAGCACCATTTCTGCCATTGCATGTGACAAAACACTGATCTCACAGTTCCTTTTATCTCCTGTCTCATGGCATCCCCAGAGCCTAGAACGGAGAGCCTGGCCTCGCAGGTGCCCAATAAGAGTTTGCTGCCTGAGTTTGTGGGGCTTTGATTTCCAGTGCAGCTCAGTCCATTGCCCTCGAAGAGGCTGCCCTGTGCGAGGCATCGTTTTGTATTCTCGAGCAGGGTTGGAGGAGTCATTTCGGCAACACTTTTCAAGGCGGCACAGGCCTCCCGCTGCCCCTGGGCCTCGGACACAGCGCTCGTCTCCTTACTGAGCGCCTGTGGTGCCGTGGAGCTAGGGAGGCCACAGAGCTGGCTGGGCTGCAGGCCACGATAGGCTCCCCAGAGGGGCCTGACCACCCCAGAATGTGAACCAGCCACCACCCAGACTCCTTTCTTGTCCTTGCTTTGAGACGATGGACCCAGCAAGCCTGTCACCCCCAAATCCCAAGCCAGGGCGGTGGGGAAAACACGCAGGTCCACGCCAGTGCTGGGCTCGGGGCCTGCTATCAACTCCTTTAATCTTCACACCCATCCGCGAGGTAGGTGACGTTATTTTGCCCGTTTTACAGATGGAGAAACTGAAGCACAGAAGCCAAGAGACTTGCCCAGGGTCACTCAGCAAGTAGCAAAGCACAGTTTGGAACTAAAAACCCCACCGTTGACCACAGCTTCAGGAGTCAGCTCCCCAGGCACGATACATGCGCACGGGAGCACAGGCACGTGCCCCATCCTCTAGCAGAGTTTGCTTGCGAACTTGGGTGTGCGAAGACATGCCCTTGGGACTTCCAGACAGAGTCCCACCTGATGGCACTGCGAGACACTGCTCTAGAGGGCCTGCGAAGCCCTGGCCCGGAGACCAGCTTCCAGGCGGACCTCACACAGAGCGAGCCTCCGCCTGAGCCGCAGTTGCCTCATCAGTAAACGCAGAGGATGCTCTCCCTGCGGGCGGGAGCTCCTCCCAGCCTCCATGCTCTGGAGCAAGAGTTCTCTCCCCTGAGGCCATGGGCCCCTGTGAGCATCCCATGACAGTGACAGAACCCCGCCCCAGAATAACATGCTCCCGACATGCACACACACAGTTTGGTTCACAACCGGGGATCATGGAGCCCCTGCTTTCGCTATAACCCAGCTGAGTGAGGGAACCTGCCAGTGTCCTGCCTGGAGGCCAAGGGCCCGAGGCCTTGGGCTCAAGCTGAACAGTCCCTCATCTTTTGGGGAAGCGTGTGCCTCCAGACCTTTGCACACTCAAGACTGAAGGCCAGAGAATGAGCTCAGCATAAGGCCCTGGGATGGGACCAGCCATGCCCCTCTATCACACGCATGGGCGATGGACAGCTGTTTCCACGTGGGGGTGGTTTGGGGAGCCCAGAGAGGCCACCACACTGCCTCCAAGACATCTGTCCCCGCTGACTGCTGCCCTGATTCCCCACTGGAGCACCACTGTCCTTTAGCTAAATGCGGGCCTATCAGGACGGGAGCCTCTGTTCTCTATCATCGTGGAGGGAGGCTGGGGAGGGAGAGCGCGGACCAGAGTCCCAGGGTGAGGAAGGGAGGCAGCGCTGACCGCTCACAGCCACCCAGGCAGCCTGCTGTGTCGGGCTGCCGCTCCGGGGCCAGGTGGACGCCCAGGACTGTACCTGACCAGGTCCCCACTTCCATATTCCACTTAAAGCTGCCAGAAAAAAAACTCCATCCAAGGGTAGGAGGGAGGCTGAGGCCAGCATGGGCTCCCAAGGGTGTGTATGTGGCGAAGGCCAGCGGGTGTGGTGATGTGGGAGGGGTTCGCGGGGGGCCCCAGGCAGGTGGAAGCAGTGAATGGCTCAGGGGGACCCCAGAGCCTGGTCCTCTGCGGGCACTAGCCACTAGCAGCGGGGGAGGGGAACAACAGGGAAGTGGGAGGAGGTCAGCCAGCCCTTCCTGGCAGGGCCGTTTCAATGCCACTTCCTGGCTTTGTCAGGACCCTTTCTGGAGGGCAGGAGTTGTGCCCCTGATCCACCAGAGACGTTCATAAACTAGGGCGCAGGCAAGGGGGTGAGGCTGGCCGTGGGTGGGAACCCTCTGGGAGGCCAGGTGGGGTCCCCAGAGACAGCGGGGACTGGTGCAGGCCACTGAGATGGCGTATAATGTGGTGCGAGGTTGGGGGGCGGGGGGTGGAGCAGCAGAGCCCAGGCCTCGTAATGACAAATTTTCTGCTGAACAACTACAAATATTCACTGTGACTTTGGACAAAGTCTGAAAAAGACTTCGTTTCCTCCCTTGGCGGTATCATTTGTCTTGTTTTGAAGCCGGGAGATTGCAGGCACGAACTTATAGACTAAAGTTTGTCTTAATTGCTGCGGTGTCACCACCTCTCTGGCAGATAACAGCACTATGAACGAGTCGATGGGGCTGAGCCCTCCAGGTCCTTCTTCTAAAGTGAGACAAATTTCCCTCCTTCGAGCCCAACAGTCCATTGGCAGCTCTGTCATTTATTTATCTCCCTAACAGTTTGCATTAACTTGCAGGGGATAAAAAGTCTCTCCCGCCCGCAGACTTAGTTAAAAAGATCCAGTTGGGGAAGTCAGGTTGTGCTGCTGGTACTTCCTAAGAATTTGCTTTTTATTCCCCTCCTGTTTGGGGAGGGGGGAGGCACTGGGGGTAATAGAAAGAGCAATGGGGGCACATTTCACTAAGACAAGCAGCAAGGGCAGCAGGATGGAGAAGGAGTACACGGGGTTCGCAGAGTTCCCGTGTCCAGATCACTATAGTTCTGAGAAAGAAAAGAACTACTACTGTCTTGCAATATCATATTCCTGGGCATGGCAAACTGTCTTCATCCTTGCCTCATTTGGTCCTCCCAGCCCCATGGAGAATGGGCGCATGGCGACCCCACCTCTGTCCCCAGCTCCATGTTCCCATCACTGAGGGTTCTCCCTGAATGAGCCCAGCCCTCTCTGCCTCTGAGCCACTGCACAGGCTGTTCCCTCAGCCCGGGACACCCTTCCCTACCACC